ATTGATTGTTCCATTTACTTGAACAAATACCTTCACTAATTTTACCATAGCAAATCTAGAACTTGAAAATCTAATTTCCCCCTAACCTCTGAACTTATATCTTCCTTGCATTGTGATAAATATTATCTCCGCAGTAATAGAACTATAGAAGGACCTTATATTAAACTTGTTCTGACTCCCGTGCAATGAACTATTACTAAGACATTTCTTGGCGGTGTAAAATTAAGGAAGAAGGAAAAGGTTTAGATCTTGTTTGGCACATATTTTTTCAAGGTCAAAAAATGATTTTCTTTTCTAAGAATTTATGGTTAAAAAGTGTGGAAAGGTTGCGAGTCATGTAGAATGCATTGTTGAAAATAGTTTTGGGAAAAAAGAATTTTTGAAAAATCTTTGACAAACAAGCCTTTAGTATCATGAAGGTCAGCTGTATGGAATTGCTGGACAATGATTTCCTCTATTTTCAAGAATCAGAGGATAATGTCAAACGTGAATTGGGGGCGAAGGACTATTTACATGAAATACACTGAAGCTAAATATAACAATTCGAACAGTGGAATAAATGAAACAAAACCCCAAAGAATTAGAGGATGTTCGCTTAGTGTTTCAGTTTTGTGTTTTAAGTTTTAAATTTGTGTTTTGAGTCTTCATTTTGAAATTGTTGAAAATATGTACTTTTAGGTATTTTGAAAAATTATTTTGAAAACACCCAAAACGCGTTTGGAAAATTTTGATTTGATTATAATTGGAAATACTTTGTAAATTTTTAATTCGTTTTCAAAAACGCGTTTTCGAAAATAAGAAAGAGAATACGTTTTTCACTATTTTGAAAAATCAAAAATAGAAAATGACTTGAAAATGGTAAAAAGAACAGACTCTTAGGTTTTTCGCCACTAAAAACATATTAATTAATCAGTACCCGAGGACGATTTTTCCGTGTGGCTATATGCGCAGCTGTATTACCCTTCTTGTCACGTTCATTTAATATTGAGTGATCATATTCCAGCAATTCCTCTACTACAGAAGTATCCTGACCTTTTACAGCCATATGCAACGCAGTTTGGCACTTCTTATCTTTGATGGAGATAATTCCTGGATCCCTTTCAATAAGTTCTTTTACAATATGTAAGAGGCCATATCTTGCAGTTGTGTGCAATGCAGTTTTCCCATTCTTCCTTATTGAGCTCACATCAGCGTCTAATATGGTATTCACAACATCCAGATGACCCTGCACAG